CACATTAGATAATATTTTGAGAATGTTGACATATAAAAATATATTTTCGGTTGTCTTCTTGGCCAAAACTTTCAGTTGTTTGAAACAAATGATAATAAAATTTGAGTATTTTTTTAGCTTATGGTTGATGGATATATATCATTTGCTTACGTTTATCGTGCTTATATCAATTTATATTTTCTAAGGTGAGCGTCAATTTGTATTTCGGAAGAAAAAGTACGAATATGTCGTGAGACATCTTAGGGTGAGAGTATAGACTTGTACTTCATTGAGTGTCAGATGTTGTTTATCAGAATTGTAATGATTGTAGTCTTCTAAACTCGATCTCTTGTAGCATGAGTTTATTTAGAATTTTTAAATTTTAGCCCACCCCAAAATCATTTCCTGACTCTTCCCTTGTCTCATAGCAAGATTGCTAGGAAAAATCCTCAAAATTGAAAGCACAAAACATCTTTTGACATCTTATGTGTAGAAACAAAATGCTTTATGATGTATTTTGCAACCATATGCTGCTAACTCATTTCTTCATGTAGCGTATTAAAATTGAACAACGTTATATGATTTACATAAGAGGACGATTACTAATCTCATCTAGTGCTATGATCCCTCACACACACCATACAATTTCTCTTGCATGAAACAGAGAGCTGCATTTGATGATGATAGCTCATGCGTCTCGTGTTTGGTGATGACAACTCAAATGCGCATCTTATGGGTCCCATTGTCATTAACCATGGTTGGCTTTGGACAATGCTGATTCAATGTATTAAATGAAATTGGTGTGTAATTGACCTTAGCAATGTTACAAAGGTTGATCCATTTCACAATCTCGACCTTTGGTGATGATAGCTCAAATGCACGTTGTTGGGGGCCCCACTATACGTAACATAAGATATAGACCTTGCCAAATGCTGTAAATGAAAATTTGTGCAAGACTAAATCAATTGACGGTCTCCAACGTCATTAGTTAGGTTGTAACCCTCGAAATTTTTTTACCTGTTTGAAAAACAAAGGGCTTAATTATTAATTTTTCTTTGGCACGTTTACAAAATAGAACTGTTGTTAGTCACATTAAAGTTCATAAATAAAATTGAAAATGTTATTTTTCTATTTAGAATTAGGGATGGCAA